ACTCCAAAATCACTGTGATGGTGATTGTGGCCATAAAATCAGAAGACAATTGCTTCTTGGCAGGAAAGCGATAACAAACCTAGACAATGTGTTGAAAAGCAGAGACATTACTCTACCAACAAAGATTTGTATCAAACAACAATTTGTCAAGGCACTGGTCAAGCACAGTTGTGACAGCTGGACCATAAAGAAGGCGGAACACCAAAGAACAGACACCTTCAAACTGTGGTGCTGGATAAGACTCCTGAGAGTCCCCTGAACGACAAAGAGATCAAACCAGTCAATCTTAACGGAAATCAACCCTGAGTACTTGATGGAAGGACCGATGCTGAAGCTGAAGCTCTAGTATTTTGGTCATGATGTGAAGAGCCAACTCATTGGAAAAGTCCCTGATGCTGGAAAAGATTGAGCATTGAAGAAGAAAAGGGGGTCAGAGGATGAGGTGGCTGGATGGCATCACTGATGCAATGCACATGAACTTGGGCAAACTTTGGGAGATGGGAGGGACAGGGAGGCCTGGCATGCTGCAATCTGTGGGTCAAAAAGAGTCAAAAATGACTGGGCAGCTGAACAACAAGAACAACTGTATTTAATACACTGAACTAAGTTCTATTAAGAATGCAAAAAGATGAAGGCAGGCAGGAAAGAAGGAACTAGAGGTGGGGACAGAGAGGAGAGAAAGTGGAAGGAAGGAATTGGATGTCCTCTCTTCATTCAAAGAGTTTGGTTGTAGAGAGCCTATGAAGGGGTAAGTCCATTAATATGCATTGCTTCAGACAACCACCCAAAGTTTCTTCTCTTTTCAATGTTATGTCATGAGAGATCTGAATAATTTAACCAGAAATCTAAATACTTTTCCATGGATGTTATATAAGAGAGGACAAAAAATTGCCAATAGGTACCAGTCTGATATAGGATCTCTTCTTAAAGCTGTTGATGTCATTTTCTAATTAAGGGGGACAGACTCTAAAGCCCAGGACCTCATGGTAAGCATCAGGAGGCTCATCAGTCAGTGAGAGGAGAAAGAAAGGGAAAGTGTTAGTTGCTCAGTCATGTCCGACTCTTTGTGACCCCAGGGACTGTAGCCCACCAGGCTCCTCTGTCCATGGGATTCTCCAGGCAAGAGTACTGGGGTGGGATGCCAGTCCCTCCTCCAGGGGATCTTCTTCACCCAGGATGGAACCCAGATCTCCCACACTGCAGGCAGATTCTTTACCGTGTGATCTACCAGGGAAGTCCAAGGATCTTATTATAAGAAGAGAAGGAGCTTAATAAACACAGAAAACATGATGCCTCAAATTCTTCAATGCCTAATTAGATCTTCATTCTCAAAAAGCTTACAATTTAATAGGAAAAGTAGATATATAAAGGAAAAACCAACAAGCATATGGTGTCTATCAGTAAATGTGAAATGCTGTTAAATAGATTGCAGATGAGAGATCCACCTTCCAGTGGGCTGAACTAAGAAGAATTAATAGGGGAGATAAGACTAAAACTAAGCTCCGAAAAGCAGATAGACACAACAGAGAAAAGAAAAACTCTTTGCTGGAAAAGGTATGTAAATCATAGTAATAATATTTTCTGCTTCTGTCATGTGTTTTGCTTGATGATATTCTGGTTGTGATGCTAAGTACTTTATGTGCATTGTTTCATTAAATTCTTATAACAAGTCTTTAGGATAGAGGGTAGAAGTTAAAGGTAAAGAACCTGAATCTTAGCAATTATCAGTGACTCTCCAATAAACATAGATGCCAATCAGTCTCTCTGGTTGCACACACTATTAGATCAAGCATTAAGTTATTCTGTTCAAATGATGTTGCTTTGATAAACAATGGAATATATACCTGGAAATACACTTTAGAGCAGACCCTGGAGACCAGTTTGAAGAATGGTGCATGTATTCAGTCCAGTTCAGTTGCTCAGTTGTGTCTGACCCCATGGACTGCAGCATGCCAGGCCTCCCTGTCCATCATCAACTCCCGGAGTTTACTCAGACTCATGTCCATTGAGTCGGTGATGCCATCCACCCATCTCATCCTCTGTCGTCTCCTTCTCCTCCTGCCTTCAATCTTTCCCAGCATCAGGGTCTTTTCTAATGAGTCAGTTCTTCATATCAGGGGAACAAAGTATTGGAGGTTCAGCTTCAGCATCAGTCCTTCCAATGAATATTCAGGACTGATTTCCTTTAGGATGGACTGGTTGGATCTCCTTGCAGTCCAAGGGACTCTCAAGAGTCTTCTCCAACACCACAGTTCAGAAAAGTTTGGTGCTCAGCTTTCTTTATGCTTTTGATCTTTTTCCTATAGAAATTGGAACATTTTGGAAGTCTTCAACAGGGAGGATTTATGGCTTTTGTATATATGACTTTGCATTCACTATTTAAGAGGCGACATGAACTAAAAGCAGAAACCCAATTAAGAGTTCAATGGAAATGGACAGGAAAAGAAAGATGTAAAAAGAAAAGAAAGGAAAATGGACAGGGATGCTTTATACCTAAGACTCTCCTCAATTCTGAACTGACCTTAAGTTTTAAAAAAATGTCCGACATCTAAGCTGCAAAATTTTAAAAATTTTAGGTTTGGAAATCTATAGTTGTAAAATATACATCTAATTTGGCAGAGTAAGTAAAAACAACAAGAGCTTAATCCCCGGTTCAGTAGAAACAAGAGCCCCACCTCCCAAAGTAGAACAAGGCAGAAAAGATTACAGAGAAAAGTATATCAGGCACAGAGATGGCTTGTCTCAGGAGCATCACGTGGAAACCAGATACAGCAGCCCAGACCCAGACCCCACCTACAGGTAACCCCACTGAAAGAGCAGGTTCCAAGACCACAGGCCAGGTGGGCGGGCAGCCTTCTCCCGAGCAGAGCCCTGAAGGGCATGAAGCCAACAGCTTTCCCAGTCACTCAAGAAGCAGCCAAGATTGTGTAAGCCCTAATTTGCAGGACTGCAACGAGCTCATCATCCCAAGCCTGAAGCTGGGCCATTTGCACAGGGCTGAGGTTTGATTCAGAATTCCCTGGTAGGGACAGAGAGGAGAAGACAGGTTACATCATTAGTTTTATCTAAGCTTGAATCGCCTTAACTAAGTAATCCCAAGTTTTATAGTAATATCACTCCAATCTTAAAAGACATTCTATTAAGTGGGGTATTAGTGATTTATTTGTTTATGTTTTTTTAAGGAGCTAATTAGTCAACCTCATTTCTGGGCTGAGGGGTGACCCCACTTACTAAAAATACACATTCTATTAGTTTCCAGCCACAGTCCCATTTCTCTTGGCTCGACATCTAATGTTTTAAGACAAAATAGTTTCTATCACGTTTGATAGATTTAAGTAAAACTACATGACATGCTTCCATCAAAGGAAATTAAAATCATTCTTCAAAGCAGAGTCAATTTGCAATTATGACAGATGATGATTTTCAAATTTAGTTGAGATTCAACAATGGCACTTTGATGTCTTGGAAATAATTGATGTCGGAGTAATTCTCTATTTTAAACTGTGTTCTCCTTTCAATCTGGTTTTTCATAATAGAAACTCTCTACAGGGTCACTTATTCTTGCAGTTTTCATTTTGCAAACAACTTTATATCATAAATAAAAATTTGCTTGCTATGGAAAATTTCTTATTTTATAATAGAAAACATTTTTTTCATGTTTATATTGGAGAAAGTCTGGTGAGCAATTAATGTATATTGATGCATACTTTATCATATAGCTTATATCATACGCCTTAGTTGACAGACAGTTCTGTTTCAAGCAAACATATATTACATTTAGTTTTTTATTACTTACAAAAATTCATGAAGACTAAAGACTCAAGCTAAACACTCAATTTCTTCAGGAATATCCAACCAAGACTATTATAGACTTGAAAGGAAAAGTGAAAGAGATGGATAGTAGGCTAACATCAAGATCCTTACTGCAGATATTGAAGCATAGCTCTCCACTGAGGCATGGGTACCCAAAAACTCACTTAATGAAAGCTCATAGGCAGGTATAGCTCTTCTGGAGTTATAGTTTTAAAAATCTTTGACCTTATTACTGAGGGTTCATGACACGCTTTCCAGTGGTTCTCAGCGAAATGAGGAAATAAGAACAGGGCAGTGAATTTTTCATAACCATAAGCATTTTTCTTTCTTTCTTTCTTTTTAACATTTTTCATCGAAAGGATTGTCCTTAAATAGCAAACTGATCTTTTCTTAAGCCCATCTCTTTATAAAATAATTGTTATTATCATTGATAGTAGAATGTTTGTTATTTTTAACATCCTTACTTGGAAAAATTAAAAATAGTCAATCTTGTGTTAATCCCATTTTTAGTTAGTCCCACTAAACACCCGAAAGCTCGAAGAGGAACCACTACTGTAGAAAATATCAATGGGAACTTCAGTGAATTTCCTTTCCTTCTAGCCCCAGGGCTTAAAAACAGGCATGTTCAACCCACTGCTGCAATATTTCATAAAGAAAGTAGCAGAATTCCAGCAAGTTGGCGAGAGTTCTCTAGCATTAAAGATTTTTCTTTAGAGGATAAATGTTATGCCCTGATTTCAATCAGTTATCACGGAACTGGATTACAAATATCACAGACTGCTGAAACATGTTGCAACATAGTTCCTCAAAGCAGTATTAACTTACCTGTCATGATTTAATCATTTCTCAATCTGAATCCATCAGACAGCACAGACTTATTCTACCATTTGCAGAAACCGAATTCGGTATCATTTAGTTATTGCATAAAACATTTCTAGATCCTTCTGTCCCACTGCATAACCTTCAGTGAAAAGGTTCAGTGTCAAATGCTGAGAATCACTGCTTGTAGTTGGCAAAGCCATCCAGTATTCCTGGATCACTGGAAGCAATGAGAAATAGATAAGATAGAAAGGTATCCTGTGGGATCTGACAGAGTGTTGAGGAAATATAGGGTGTCTGAGAGTTATGTTCTAATCGGGTCATGGTGCATTTGACCTATTGCATTCTTTCCCTTCTCCCCTTTCCAGTGAAATCAGATGAGTTACAGACAATCAAGAAAGAATTAACCCAGATCAAAACTAAAATTGACTCCTTGCTAGGCCGCCTGGAGAAGATTGAGAAGCAGCAGAAGGCGGAGGCTGGTAAGTGAAAATGAGCAGCAGCCGCAGACCTGTTGGAATCAAACCACTCATACCCGGTCGGTCAACAAGACAGAGCAGGTCCCGGCTCACTGGCTGAGTCTGACCGCATTTAGCACAGATACACAAATGTCGCATTTAAACTTAGAACTGCGATGATGGAATCTGACTTTTTACTTTTCAGAGATGAGTCAACTTGCCTAAAATTCATATTTTTAAAAGGAGAGGGGAAAGGACAAGTATTTTGATGCTAATAAGTAACAGTTGGATTATATTGAAGGTTTATATCTCAATATCAAGTGAACTTTAAGAAAATTAAATCAATAAATTGAATATTCTATCAGGGCTAAAATTATATTCATATTTAATTCAATTAACTGCAGCAAAATTGAACAGATTTCAGAAGCCACTCTTAAATTGCTGCAGCTCCACAAAACTTCAGAACTCATGCTTCAGCCATATGCCTGGCCACCCAAGGCCGTGTCATTTGACTTAATTCTTTAACTTAACGTCCTCTCTTTGGAATATCAGCCCTGACCCTAGTTCCATGCTAATACTCTTTATTTATTTATTTATTTATTTTGAATTGGAGGATAATTGCTTTACAACATTGCGTTCGCTTCTGCCATACATCAGCATGAATCACCGACAGGTACACATGTGTCCCCTCCCTCGGGGAGCTCCCTCCCACCCCATCCAACACCCTCTAGGTAGTTACAGAGTGCCGATTTGAGTTTCCTAGTCCAATACCCTTTTATATGGCAACCGAGAGTTTTAAAATTATACATTTTAAACAGAACTGGCATAAACTTAGAGATGAGCTAGTGCCTAAATTGCAAATTGCATTCTGCTGGGTCTTTGATGTCTCAGAAGCTCCTTGAACGTGAGCTGAGAGCTGAAAGGAGACGTCGGAGACAGAGGAACTCACGACTCCTCCAAACCCAGCCCTGTTCTCCAAACAGTGTGGCTCTACCTGGGTCTATTTTACACACTGAAATTCATCATAAGATTTCATTGGCCGAAAGAGCTTCACTTTTCAAAATTAAGCAAGACAATTTTGAAAACCGCTTATCAAATCCAGCTTTCTCATTTTGCAGATGAGAAGGCCCACGGAGGTAAACTGACTTTTCCATGACCACATAAAAGGTTTGTGATAGACCTAGAGTCTCAAAGCCAGGCCCGGTGAGGGAAAGCAGCACCTCCTCTGATGTGTCAGCCTCGGGTTCCGCTCGGGATCTGCCCGCAGTGAGGTTCCCCGGGTAGCAGCCGATGGTGAGATCCAGCCTGTCTGTTGCCCGTGTCCCTGGGCAGGGACCAGCGCTGACCTTCGGGTGGTTAGTGACGCGGGGTGGAGCAACGAAGCCGGTGTTGAGGGGGCGTCGAGCCTAATGGATGAGAGACGTACACTGTGGGTCAACTCCTCACAGGCCACTTCGCCCCCGTTTTTTCGTTTATCAAATGAGGACAGTAATGGTTGCCTGACATTGTGAGAAGTGAGTCAAGTCGCAAATGTAAGTCACTTACTAGCCCAGAATAAATGCCGCATAATTGGAGCCATTTAGTGTCCATAGAAATGTAAGCATATATAGCCAAACAAATACTTCCCACGACTTTCACACCACCAGTTTTTTAAATCATAAGCCATGTACCTAGATTCTCACTAACTTTTATTGAGTTAGTGTGGAGAAGAAATAATAGATAAATAATAGACAAAATAAGATCATTTTTATTAAAAATTTGTCACATTTTCTATTGAGAAAAGATATGCTGCCTATACTTCTTAATAGAGAAATTTAGATTTCAGAAAGTTTTTTATCTGCTGTCTGTGGCACTAATCTAAACTGTTGCCGGAACTGAAATATCCTGTGATGTTGCCTAAATCAATGTTTCCCTTTGAGGAGCTTCTGTGAAATTCGTTATTATGTAAAACAACCCTTACAGCAAAGGACTTTGATAACCAATTTGCACTTCAGTTTAAAGGATTATGGAGAACTCATTTAAATATAAATCACCTCAAAGAGAAAAATGTGATCCTTATTCCATCATATTATAACTTCCAGTTTCCTGCAATGAAAAATGCCTTCCACATATCTTCTTAGAAGATCATCTATAAACATGACACTAAAATTCAAAGCTTGCATTTTCTTTTCATGAAAGGCTGTCACCTTATTTTTGTATGTGTTTCAACTTTCCCAGTCACAAGGCAGTTATCTTTAAAATGATAGGCTTAAGCCGCTGATATTTATGTCTTTCCTACTTGAACATGTAGGAAGAAAATGGAATTATTTAATTTGTAATTTCATTCTCTTAGTAATTGTCTCCTGAACAATATTCATATTTATGGAGTTAAGATGATCACTTTCTAAATTTTCTTTATGAAAAGAAATCAGGGTTGTATGGTGTCTGTACTACATGATGGAAAGTGGAAAGAAATATTTTAAATCTTTTTAAGTGCCCAATACCTCCTTATTGAATTTAAGGGGATACTCATTTTATTGTTTATTTTATTACAGGCCAGTTATTCAGTAGTTAATATTCACTCTTCATTATTGCTCTTTTATAGACCTCTCATTTCCAACTTACTCCATCTGATGACAAAAATTTCCAGCTTAGGATAGTAGCAGCAAAGAGAGGGAGGGTTACAAGCAGGATAAACCACACAGTGTGGAACTTGTCCTGAGTTCCAGTTTCATAAGATCATTTTTTCCTTTTTTGTATGAAATCCTGAGCTATCAGGAGTAACTGTAATGAGGTTATAATGTCATCGTTTTGGATTTTTTATGCCTTCAATTACTGCTAATAAATGTTTGCATGGTATCCTGTCTCTTCCTTTGAAGATACGAACTTCCTCAGAACAAGGTCATGTTTTCACTAACTTTTCTAAATCTTCAAACACTGTGTACTATGTACTAGGCATGATTTAGCAAGTCATTTAACTTCTCTAGGTCTCAGGCCCCTCAAATGAAAACTAGAGGAAGGGATTATGGTCTCAAACATATATTCTAGCTTTTAAATCATGATTAATATGAATCCACTCTGTAAGTGTTATTTTTTCCTACTTGAATAATTCAAGTAACATTACTTTGGAATATGGTGACTATGGATTATTAAAAACAACAAATAACACATAGCAGTTTAGCCTTCAATTGTCCTTCTTAGATGATCCTTTTAAAAGAGAGTCATAAATTGACACATACGAAGAGTGCAGTTTATATGTGGTTTACACAGTGATGCAAAATGGCCATAAAAGGTAAAAGGAGTGAGAAGTAAAACTAAAGATGGTATCATACAATGGACAGTGACCTCTTTTAAAAATCAAATTTCCTGCAAAGACTCTCAGATATGAAAAGGCAATCAAGCATTCTTTACTTCAACTTTATTCTCAGTGGTAGGCATCATGTATGACCTGTCAGACTCACTTGGACAATTCCAGTGAAACTAGCTAACCTATCCTACCCATTAGACCTGACCGTTAGAGAGGTCACAGTTCAGTCCTATAGGATAAATTCATCCTGCCAATATGTTTGATAAAAGCTATAGAATTTTTTTAAATACAGAAATGTCCATTAAGAGAGGTCACACTTCAGTCCCATAGGATAAATTCATCCTGCCTATATGTTTCGTATACACAAAAAGGCAAAATGACTGTCTGAGGAGGCCACACACATAGCTGAGAAAAGAAGAGAAGCTAAAGACAAAGGAGAAAAGGAAAGATATACCCATTTGAATGCAGAGTTCCAAAGAATAGCAAGAAGAGATAAGAAAGGCTTCCTCAGTGGTCAGTGCAAAGAAATAGAAGAAAACAATAGAATGGGAAAGACTATAGATCTCTTCAGGAAAATTATGGACACCAAGGAACATTTTATGCAAAGATGGGCTCAATAAAGGACAGAAATGGTAGGGACCTAACAGAAGCAGAAGATATTAAGAAGATGTGGCAAGAATACACAGAACTATACAAAAAGATCTTCATGACCCAGATAATCACGATGGTGTGATCACTCACCTAGAGCCGGACATCCTGGAATGTGAAGTTGGGTGGACCTTAGGAAGAATCACTACAAACAAAGCTAGTGGAGGTGATGGAATTCTAGTTGTTATTTCAACCCTAAAAGAGATGCTGTTAAAGTACTACACTTAATATGCCAGCAAATCTGGAAAGCTCAGCAGTGGCCACAGAACTGGAAAAGGTCAATTTTCATTCCAATCCCAAAGAAAGGCAATGTCAAATAATGTTCAAACTACCACACTGTTGCTGTCATCTCACATGCCAGCAACGTAATGCTCAAAATTCTCCAAGCCAGCCTTCAACAATACGTGAACCATGAACTTCCAGATGTTTGAGCTGGATTTAGGAAAGGCAGAAGAAGAAGAGATCAAATTACCAACATCTGTTGGATCACAGAAAAAGCAGGAGAGTTCCAGAAAAACATCTATTTCTGTTTCATTGACTGCTCTAAAACATTTGACTGTGTGGATCACAGCAAACTGTGGAAAATTCTTAGAGATAGGAGTACCAGGCCAATTTACCTGCTTCCTAAGACATCAGTATGCATGTCAAGAAGCAACAGTTAGACCTGAACATGGAACAGCAAACTGGTTCCAAATTGGGAAAGGAGTACATCAAGATTGCATATTGTCACCCTGCTTATTTAACTTACATGCAGAGTACATCAAGAAATGCTGGGCTGGATGAAACACAAGCTGGAATCAAGATTTCTGGGACAAGTATCAATAACCTCAGATACATGGTTGACACCACCCTTATGGCAGAAAGTGAAGAGGAGCTAAAGAGCCTCTTGATGAAAGTGAAAGAGGAGAGTGAAAAAGTTGGCTTAAAGCTCAGCATTCAAAAAATTAAGATCATGGAATCCAGTCCCATCTCTTCATGGGAAATAGATGGAAACAGTGGAAACAGTGACAGACTTTATTTTTGGGGCTCCAAAATCACTGCAGATGGTGACCGCAGCCAGGAAATTAAAAGATGCTTGCTCCTTGGAAGA